CCTGCCACCAAGTTCGTAGAGAACGAGGGGAGGTGGAGACCTGACAGTGTGCCCGACGGGACTGCAGGACAGGGAAGGACAGTGGAGGAGGTCGCAAGGACCGGACCCCCAGAGGGGTCAGCGAGGGAGACAGCTACTGGCCGAGCAAGGGGCTCAAGGGCAGTGCGGTCACGAAAGAAACAGCGAGAGGCACCTGAATCCAGCGTGAAGGTGTGCAGTGCTGCAGTCAAGACAGTACTAGGGGGGGCAGACGTACAAGCACCTAGAGCAGCAGCCTCACCAGCACCTGGGGTAGCAGACACGCGAGTACCTGGAGCGGCAGAAGCACTAGTCCTAATGCCCGGGTTGGGCGGGACACTCAGGTACTCAGCACCCTCTCCACTAGTAGACATCACATACATGGCAGTGAGAATAGCATCAAAGTCTAGAGCATAGATATCAATCCCCTTCTTCAGGAGATCAACCCAGCGGGACAGCTCAGTGGCCTGAGGGAACTGAACACGCCAAGCGTCGTTCAGACGAGCGAAGCAACGCTGTGTGGCGTGCGGTCCCCCACACGGCTGGCCAGTGCGGTCACCAGTGCGAATGACGTACGTGCAGCTAAGGCCACCCCCCCCCCCCCCCCCCCCCCCCCGTGGTGAGAGTACCACTCACGGACCTCCTGGGGCGACGGAGTGTGCTGCTGGCCCTGGCCACCGCCAGCGCCTCCACGACCACCACCGCCGCTACCACCTCCTCGACCACCCCAACCCCGGCCGCTGCCTCGTCCACTGCCACCCCCACCACCTCCTCCGCCCCGGCCACCTCCCCCGCCGCTGCCGCCACCCTCCCCACTGCTGCCACCTCCCCCACCCGCGCCACCCCCCCCGCCACCACCACCTCCCCCACCACCGCCACCCCCGCTGTCACCACCACCGCCCTTGCCCCCCTTGCCCTTGCCGCTGCGGCGCTCGCTCGAAGCAGACCGAGTCCCGACCTTCTCAGCACCAAGGAGGTCGACAGCAGCAGCAGAGGCGACAGAGGGAAGAAGGGGGGAGGGAGAACACCCCTCAAAGAACGGGGTACGGGGGTCACCGCGAGAGGCACCTACAGCGACTATGCTAGCCTCAGCTGCAAGGAGTTCCTTCTCGAGGAGGGCAATGGTGAGCTCGGTTCGGTTAGGGCTGGGCGGCTCGGGTCGGCTCGGTTCGGGCTGCTCGGTTCGGGCGGCTCGTTCTGGGTGGGGCCGTTCAGGGCCGCTAAGGGCGAGCGCGGGGAGCGGGTGGGGCCGTTAGGGACGAGTGCGGGGGCGACGTGGCCCTCTAAGGGCGAGCGCGGGGTCTATCGGGGCCGTGAGGGACGAGCGCGGGGCCTATCGGGGCCGTAAGGGACGAGTGCGGGGCCTGAAGGGCAAACGCGGGGCCACCTGGGGCCTTAGGGACGAGCGCAGGGCCAATTCGGGGCCATAAAGGGTGAGCGCGGGGCCTTTCAGGGCCGCTAAGGGCGAGCGCGGGGCCGACGTGGGCCGCTAAGGGCAAACGCGGGGCCGATCGGTGCCGTTAAGGACGAGCGCAAGGCCGACGCGGGCCTCTAGGGGTAAGCGCGGGGCCGATTCGGGGCCTCTAAAAGCGAGAGCACGGGGCCGACGGGGCCTCTAGGGGCGTGAAAGCCGAGGCGCCCTAGGGCGTAGGTAGGTAGGTAGGTAGGTAGTGGTGGGCCCTAAAAAAATTGGTCCTAGGAAGGACCTGCTCTATACCATGTTGAAGAAGAATGAATGAACTAAGAGTGAAATGAGTACAAGTATGAAAACCTAGAAATGTGTACCCCCTATAGGCTAACCCACTGTAGCCTAAATAACTACAACAATATATATAATGTTTGACACATCTCTGTGTCCATGGCTATCTGCCACTAAGAGGAGTTACGGACCCGTAATCGCCTATGCGTAAGTGCGTGGGGTCGGGATGTCTGGTGCATCCGGGTCTCCCTCAGGGCAAAGTAGCGAGGACGCGAGATACAGTGCAGGCCGCGAGACACTCCAGCTCAAACTGCGTGTCCTGAAGAACGTCACAGCCCAAGGCAAGCTCACCCCCGACGGACGGAGGACAGGAAGAGTCAAAGACAAGACTCGCAGCGTACTCCTCCGTTACTGTTCCCACCGACTGACCGGGAACCGGGAACTCAGGAGCAGCAGGTGAGAGACTGAGAAGGAGAACAAGCGCAGACAGCTGCGGCTGGGTAGTCGCACCCCTAGAACCTCCCACTCTAGTAGCAACAGCACCCCCATAACCAGTACCTCCCACTCCAGTAGCAACAGCACTCCCAGAACCACTAGAACCTCCAGCTCCAGCAGCCCCAACATCTTCAGCTCCAAGACGGCTAGCTCCACCACCAGGGCTGCCCCACTGGACAGCCCACTCGCGCAGCCGCTCCGGCGAGAGTGCCTCCTACCGACTAGCACTAGGACTACCCGCAGCAGCACCCACAGCAGCAGCACCTCCAGTACCTCCAGCTCTAGGAGAGCTAGCACGGCTAGCTCCGCCACCAGGGCTGCCCCACTATACAGCCCACTCGCGAAGCCGCTCCGGCGAGAGAGTTGCCTGCCGACGTGCAGCAGTGCCACCAGTACGAGCAACCACAGTATCACCAGTAGCAGAACCTCCTGCCCCAGCAGCTCCAGCACCTCCAGCTCCAAGACGGCTAGCTCCACCACCAGGGCTGCCCCACTGGACAGCCCACTCGCGCAGCCGCTCCGGCGAGAGAGCCTCCTGCCGACTCGTAGCAGGACCACCAGCGCCAGTACCTCCTGTACCCAGAGGACCCTCAGCACCCCCAGAACCAGCACCCCCTGTGGTACCACCTCCTGCAGCACCAGAGTCCACAACAGCAGGCTGCAGCGGCGGTGAAGACGGTCGAGGCGGAAACCCAGGAGGGACAGCCAAGCGTGCAGAGCGGCGAGGGGTCACTGTGGCAGCAGGAGCCAGGTCACCCCCCTCAGCTGGGCCAGAGGTGTCTGAGGAGACCTCCAAAGGCTCAACCAAGTGGGGTGGGTCTACCTGAGACACACTTGAGGGAGCGGGACCGTGAGGAGGGAGGGGGGCTACTTGGGGGGGGGCGTCCACCAGGGTGAGAGGGGGGAGGGGTACCGGGGAACTGCGATGGGGGTGAAGACGGTAGAAGCAGACGGACTCGTCAAAGGTCACATCCTGGGAGGACAGCACACGACGAGAGCCCAGGTGGTAAAACTGCCAGGGCCGTGCGTCGGTGGGGAAGCTAAGGAATACGCACCGAAGAGAGCGTGGAGAGATCTTGCCCGCAGGCAAGTCACGGACAAGAGAGAGGGAACCCTAAACCCGAAACGCCGACGCATCACCAACCTCGCCCGTCCACCGCAAAGTGGGGGAGGTCTCCGGGTGGGAGACACGGGGCCAGAGGTTGAGCTGCTCAGCGGTGTATTGGACCGCAAACGGCCACAGAAAATGGGGAGCAGCCGCATGGATCATGGAGGTGCGACCAACCTCCATGACAAGACCAATGCAGCGCTCTGCAATCCCATTCTGCTGTGGAGAGGCCGGAAGCGTGTACGTCTGGCGGATGCACTCAGCACCACAGAAGTCCTCGAAGAGGTGGGAGCAAAACTCACCACCTCGGTCAGAGTGCAGCCGCAGGACAGGAAGGTCCTCACAGAACCGAGCCCGAAGCTGGAGACGAACACCGCGGATCCAGCGGATCAAGACACCGGGGACATCCGCCTCGCTCTGCAAGGGGAAGGCCGTGGTGTAGCACGTGTAATCGTCGACTACCAGCAAAAAGTAGCGCTCGCCACCCTGTCTAGTGACGCGGGCGGGGCCCCACACGTCCATGTGCAAGGTCTGCAAAGGAGCAGTGGTAGGAGGAAACGAGGAGGAGTGAGGAGCGGTGCGCTGCCGCCCCTCGACGCAAGGAAGGCAAGGCGGTGCAAGCGACCTCAAGAGCGGGGGCAGGGACCTGGGGAGACCGGACACAAGGACACGAGAGTGCATGCCACGCGGCGTGGCAAGGAGGGTTGGCCAAGACGGTGGTGCCAGAGGAGAGTCTGGTGCGTGAGGAGACGACACGAACAAGGCGAGGCGACCTCAACCAACGCACCTACCTGACTTGACTCAGCTACCAGTGCAGACTCAGTGGTCAGTGTGTACAGGCCAGACCTAGGCCTCCGAGTGAACGTGGCGAGGTGCTCACCAGTGCGCGAGTCCGTACAGATCGCCACTAGCTCGCCTCCCGGCTGGGTGACAGTGACCCACTGGTCCTGGAGGACAAAGGTAGCCACCAAGTTCTTAGCGAACGAGGGGAGGTGGAGACCTGTGAGGAGGCCGGAAGGGGCCGCCGGACAAGGGAGAACAGTGGCGTCACGCGCAACTACCGGGCCTCCAGAGGGGTCGGCCAGTGTGACAGGGACAGGGACTGTGAGTGGTGTGACTGTGGTGCTGTCGCGGAAGAAGCAACGAGACGCGTCGGAGTCAAGAGTAAAGGTGTGCAAGGCCTCCTCATGCTCTGCACCTGTGCTAGCTGAGTCAACAGCACCAAGACTAACAGCCTGTACGCCACCAGGTGCCTCTCCACCCCCAGCACTAGTACCCCAAGCTCCGCCACCGGGGCTGCCCCACCGGACAGCCCACTCACGAAGCTGCTGCGGGGAGAGAGTCTCCGGCGGACGCTGCTGCCGCTGCTGTCACCTCCCGGAACCTCCGCGTCTACCAGCGGCACTACCAGCAGGAGTAGACTCACAGTGAACTCCAGTAGTAGCACACCAGGCTCCGCCACCGGGGCTGCCCCACCGGACAGCCCTCTCGCGAAGCTGCTGCGACGAGAGCGGCTCCCGCCGACGAGTACGAGGACCGCCAGCACCAGCACCTCCAGCCCTAGCACGGCTAGCTCCGCCACCGGGGCTGCCCCACCAGATAGCCCACTCGTGAAGCTGCTGCGGCGAGAGAGACTCCTGCACACTCGGCTGCCGCTGACGTTGAACAGTGGTAGTGGCCATGGGCTCGCTCGGCGCTGGGCAGCAGGGCGTGCTGGCGCGCTGGGCAGCGGGGCGCGCTGGCGCGCTGGGCAGCGGGGCGCGCTGGCGCGCTGGGCAGCGGGGCGCGCTGGCGCGCTGGGCAGCGGGGCGCGCTGGGCTGCGGGGCGCGCTGGGCTGCGAGGCGCGCTGGGCAGCGGGGTGCGCTGGCCCGTCGGGCAGCGGGGCGCGCAGGCGCGCTGGGCAGGGGGGCGCGCTGGCGCGCTGGGCAGGGGGGTGCGCTGGCGCGCTGGGCAGCGGGGCGCGCTGGCGCGCTGGGCAGCGGGGCGCGCTGGCACGTTGGGCAGCGTGGCGCGCTAGCGCGCTGGGCAGCGGGGCGCGCTGGCACGTTGGGCAGCGTGGCGCGCTGGCGCGCTGGGCAGTGGGGCGCGCTGGGCAGCGGGGCGCGCTGGGGCGCTGGGCAGCAGGGCGCGCTGGCATGCTGGGCAGCAGGGCGCGCTAGCGCTGTGGGCAGCAGGGTGCGTGTACAGAGCGCGCGGGCAGGCACGGTGGCGCAGCTGCAGACAGAGCGCGCGCGAACAGGGCGGCACTTAGGCAGGGCAGCAAGGCGCTTTTTAGCAGGGCAACTAGGTGCGCGCGGGTAGGGCAGTAAGGCGCGCGCTGGCGCTAGGCAGCAGGGCAGGAAAAAAAAAGTTTCAAGTCCGGGCAGGGCGGAACGTTCGGTGGGCCCTAAGGAACGTACCTACTCTAATACCATGTCAGAATAAGGAAACTGTAATGGTTGACTAAAGCAGGATGAGTGGTACAAGTAGCAACCCTAACAAAGGGTTGTACCCCATAGGGAGTAACACACTACAGCCTAACATCACTAGCATGATATAAACATGTTTTGACATGACGGATCCTGGGAAACATGTTTCTCTGCCTCTTCCCCTCTCTCTTCTTGATGTGCAGCTTAATCCTCACCGTCCATCCTCACATCCAGGTGTGAAAGAATTGATAGGGAGGAGGAGGAGGCAGAAGAACAAGAGGAGGCGGATGAGGACGAGGTAGGTAATAGCAGTAAAGGTGGAACCTACGTCGGGAAGGGGGGACAAGGAGTTGGAGCTGGTGCTAACAAATGCAGTCTGGGCTCCCAGGTGCTGTCCACGTGAATTTATGACCAATAGACCGTACCCTCAATGACCCTTTGTGCCCATCCCATCCTCCTCCGACTTCCTTCACCCCTCTTCGCCATTCTCCAACCAGCCTTTTTTTGTTGCGCCGAACCCTTCTCTTTGTTGCCTTTTTTTTTTTTTTTGGCAATGCAAGATCCACTATAGCAGTGCATACAAGCATTAACCGTCGTAACTGTAGCCGATGGGCCTAGATAACAGCCGGTTGTCGTACCCATCCTGATACTTTATGGGGATGGAAAACAGTGCGCGGGTTGGCCCAGATGGAGGTGAAGCCACTGGTCAAAGCAAGCATTCTTGCTGAGCTGTCACAAACCCTTCTCAGCATCCAGAATTCGTCCGGATCCAACCGCTCCAAGGGAGAGCGCTGCCCCGGCCCCAACACCACATCTGCCCATTTATTCCCCTTCTTTGCTCGTAGATAAACCCTCGTGTGTGCATAGAAAGCCGCCGCGATCTTGCGCAGCACCCTCTTGGACCGAAATTCACCCCTTTCGAAGACTGCATCGCACCTTTCCACCCAAATCTTGTGAAATGCTATAGCAATGAGAGTTGTCTCCGGAAATCCTGTCCCCGAGCCTTCTTTCTGAAACAGCAAGTCCCCCAGCGACGAGATTTTCCTTCCCGAGTTGAGGAGGCGGAGAGCTTTTAGCAATCCCTGCACCACTGGTTGGATGCGGGGGCAGCTGAACAAACAGTGCTCTGCTGACTCTTCCCCTCTACAGTGCGGACAAACCACGCCTTCCAGAAACTTCAGCCGCACCCCAGCCTGCAGGTTCCTGTTATGTGACGCCATCATTTGCATTCACGACTGTCTGCCTCCCATCACATGTTCGTGTGTTGCATGCGTGGTGTGAGCGTGTGCAAGAATTTGTGATTCGTGTGCTTTGGTTTTTCAGAGTGTGTGGATATGTTATTTGGCTTGAGCAGATATCTCAAGTGACTCCTCTTCTCAAGAGCTTTCCGACGAACCAAGTATCGCTTCAATCGGAGCACGAACAAGAAAGTTACGAACGTTGGAAGTTCGTATGCTTTTGATATTTGGTTGTGGTGACTATGGGAAGTTGTGGGGTTGACTCTATAAGGGGGTACAGACTTTTGGGGGTTGGGAAATTCGTCAACATCACTGTAGATGCTGCCAAGTGGTTGGGAGGAGCCAAACCAGGTTGGCAAGTGTGGCCAAGTTGGGCAAGGTGGATGGCATGGGTTGGAAAGTGACAAAAGTAAAAGTGGGGTTCCTATAGGGAAGGGATTTGGTGTGTTTATGGGGTTTCCTTGGTTGGGGAATCCTTGGGGACCTTCCCTCTTGTCCTCCTCTTTCCTCCCACCTGGTTAATTGCTACTCTAACTTCTTTGTGTGGTAATTGTGAGACTCTAATTATTGAGTTAAGATCTCATGGCAGCATACCCCCCTGTGCGCCGAAATTGATAAGTCGAGATTTACTTCACGTCTTGATACGAATCAAATTGGGAATTGTAGCGACGGACTAGGGCTACAACATATCTGAGTTTGGTGAAGTTTTGACTGTGAACTTTTTGTCGACGGTGTTTCTTGTGAGCGCAACTATTCTGTCCAGAAATTGATACCAACGATTTTGTGATATTTCGGCTCCTAATCTTGAGACTTCGTCCTTAGTCTCTAACAAGTGGTATCAGAGCTGATTAAGGACCTTGTGGGGAGTTTACTGAAGTGTGAAGACCCTCCTAGACCCATCATGGCCCGTGGGTGTGCCTAAGTGGAGTTCTGGAGGTCGGATGTGACTTCCGCTAAGGGGAAACTCTGCCGAAATTTCGTTGGCGCCGACACTTGTGGAAATTGTGTGGGACTTCGATGTGGACAGCAAAGGGGGAGCTGGAACCTGTGATTGGGAGCAGAGGAGATGAGTCAAGGGAGTGGAGAAGCAGCTGAGAAGAGGAGTGAGCTGCCACCATCCAAGATTGAGGCGTTGGATGGCTCCAACTACGAGGAATGGAGCGGGCGGATGCGGAGCGCCTTCAAGCGCTATAAGCTGTTGAAACTCGCGATGAGAGAAGAGAAGATGCCGGAGGAAGGAGATGCCCGCGATCGATGGATTGAGAAAAACGCGGTGCTGTACGACTTGATTCTACAGTCGGTCAACAACGACATGTTCCAGCACATCAAGGATTTGGTGGAGCTCGATGACTCGGGACCAAAGGTGTGGAAGCTGCTACGCGACGTAGTTCAGCCCAATACGCTGCCGATGGTGATCGTATTGGAGAAGGAGTTGGCTGCCCTCTCCATGCAGCCGGGAGACGATGTGAAGCCGGTGCTTGATAAGGTCAAGGACACCTATGCGAGGATGGCAGTGGCGGGCAGCAAGGTGTCGGAGATGCAGCAGTTCACCAAAATCATCTCGGTGCTCGACAACTCGTGGGACAACCTTATCCCCACCCTCAACTTTCAGCAGGACAAGTGGACGCCTGAGTGGCTACGGCAGCAGATCCTGCAAGAGGAATTCCGCAGGCGCCACACGGGAGGTGGTGCTGCCAACAAAACTGCTGAAGGGTATGGAGCTGCAGGAGGCAGCAGAGGAAGAGGGGGTGGGAGAAGCCGAGGCCGTGGGAGAGGCTTTGGCAGAGGGAGAGGCCGAGGTGACTACAATGAAGGGCATGGGAGCTCTGGAGGTAGGGGGAGCACCCGAATGGAGGGTGCGTGCTGGTACTGCAAGAAGGCTGGACACCCGTGGTTCAAATGTTTCAGCCGGCTTGAGGGATGGGCGCCTCCAGGCATGAAGCCGCCAAGTGGTGAACGTGCACGAGGTGGCGCTGTGCAAGGTTCAGGTGCACAAGGTGATGGTGCACAAGGTAAAGCCGACCCTGGGATGTTCCTCATGGTTGAGGATGTGAAAGGGAGTGAGGGTGATGTGGGCTCTATTGGAAAGGTTGTGATGCACCCCCTTACTTACTGGGTGATCGATTCAGGTTGCACAAGTCACATGACCCCACGGGCAGATTTGCTTGACGAGGTAAAACCCCCTGGGAAGATAAAGTTTGTGGCTGTCGCTTCATGTGCTTTGCTCCCTGTGATTGGTGTTGGGAATGCCAAGGTAATGGGAGCCAAAGGGGAGCTTGTGGGGCTGGGGAATGTGTTGCTGGTAGAAGGTTTGTCCGCTAACCTCCTCTCTGTGCGCCGGCTGCAGAAAAGCAAGGCCAAAGTGACCTTCGGCCCAACCAGCTGCCGTGCAAAGCTTGGGAAGTTGCTGCTGTAGGATTTGGAGGAGAAGAGCAGCTGCATCAAGGACCTATGGCAGTTGCCCATCATTCCTTGGAATGGGAAACCACCAGCAACGGCAGCGGCAGCAGCAACGGCTAAAGCAACTGCGGGAGGAGAGAAGACTGCACCAACTGATGGGGCCCTGGATGCAGTCAAGAAGGTGCGGCAGCCACAGCAGCCACGTGGTGAGGTGCTTGCTGGTGTGGATGCGACAGCTGCATGGGCAAAGGCTTCATCCGGGAGTGGTGAGGCCGATTGGGAGACGTGGCACGAGAGGTTGTGCCACATCAATATTCCGATGCTGCAGAAGTTGGTGAAGGATGGGAGCTTGAAGGGGTTGGAGGTGAAGGGGGCAGAGAAGGAGATTGGGAGCTGCCCTACATGCCTTGAAACGAAGTTCACGAAGTTTCCCTTCAGCAGCAGCACGGGACCAGCCAAGGCACCACTCGCGCTTGTGCACATGGATGTGGTGGGCCCCACGAGGGCCCTTTCTCTCTCGAGTAGCCGCTACTTCTTGACCATTGTGGACAACCACACACGTGCGGTGTGGGTCCACCCTCACAAGACTAAGGGGGAGGTGGCAGCGGCTGTTCTCAAGGAGTGGATGCCGAGAGCACAAAAGGAGAGCAGACATAAGGTGAAGGTGATCCGCACCGACAACGGGGGAGAGTTCATTGGCGCTGATTTTGAGAAGGAGCTGAAGCGGAAGGGGATCCAGCATCAGCTCACAGTGCCCTACAACCCTCAGCAGAATGGCGTGGCTGAGCGGTTCAACCGGACCCTGCAGGAAGGTGCTCGCACTCTTCTTGGACGTGCAGGGCTGTCGGATCCGTTTTGGGTGACTGCACTGAGGCAGGTCGTTGTTGTGAAGAACAGGGTGCTGGCAACAGTGGGGGACAAGCAGTGGGTCCCCTACACCAAGTGGTATGGGAGTGCACCTGCATTCAACATGCTAAGAGCCTACGGCTGCATGGTGGTGTTTCATGTGCCTATGGAGAAGAGGGGAAAACTGGAAGCTTCTGGGAGATGGGGTGTGCACTTGGGACTTGCTAAGGATCACAAGTGCTGGCTGATTTGAGACTTGACCAGCCAGCAGCTGACCGTATCAAGGGACGTGAAGTTCCTTGAGTCCTTATACTACAAGGAGTGGAAGCAACAGCAGCAGAAGCTTCCTACTACACCGCTGATCATTGAGGCCGATGAGGTGCAGCGGCCTTCGAGGCAAGTGCAGGTCACTGTCTCAGAGGAGGAGATTTCTAGGGTGACTGAGGATGGGGGAGAACCTGAGGTGGAGCAGCAGCAGCAGCAGCAAGGTGCTCCACAAGGTGCCGCACGTCCGGCTGATCGTCCTAGGAGGGATGTGCGCCCTCCTAACCGGCTGACCTATCCGAGCTTTGGCAAGCCAAAGGTGGTACGGGCTGGGAGTGTGGCTGAGCAATGTGATGAGGATGAGATAGCACACTCCTACTGGGCAGCCGTCCCTGAGCCCAAGACACTAGCCGAGGCGTTGAGCGGTCCAGATGCTGAGAAGTGGAAGCAGAGTGTGAAGCAGGAGTATGATTCTCTGCTGGAGAACGAGACGCGGGAGCTTTGTGAGCTGCCACCTGGGAAGAAGGCCATTTCTTCCAAGCTGATCTTCAGGCACAAGTACGGACCTGATGGGGTGCTGACCCGCTACAAGTCAAGGCTTGTGGCAAAGCTCAGCCAAGGTTTCAGCAGACAAAGGGAAAGGACTTCAACGAGCTTTATGCTTCTGTGGGGAAAGGCACGACACTGCGGGTGTCATTGGCAATGGCAGCAAACCGTGGATGGCGGGTGAAGCAGATGGACATAAACACCGCCTTCCTCAATGGGATCATTCTAGAGGAGTTGTACATGTTACAGCCTGAGGGATTGGATGATGGGAGCGGCAGGGTATGCAGGCTAAAGAAGGCCATCTATGGCCTGAAGCAGGCTCCTCGTGCATGGTACCACAAGCTAGAGGAGACACTGCTGGCTGGGGGTTTCAAGAAGATCGAGTGTGATCACAGCTTGTTCCTGCTGCAAGAGAAGGAGCAGTTCCTTATGCTCCTGGTATATGTGGACGACATCCTGCTCTTATCTGAGTCGTCTGCGAGGATTGAGCGTGTGGAGGAGATGCTGGAGATTGTGAAGACCCATCAGCAGGCGGCGGACATTCTCACCAAGCGCCTGGCTGAATCTGAGCATTGGAAGGGCATGAAGCTCGCTGGGATGAGTGTGCATTGAGGGTGCATGCTTGAGCTATGGCATGTGGGATGATGGTAGGCAGCCAGAGGGGGAGTTTGTTATGTGACGCCATCATTTGCATTCACGTCTGTCTACCTCTCATCACATGTTCGTGCGTTGCATGCGTGGTGGGAGCGTGTGCAAGAATTTGTGATTCATGCGGTTTGGTTTTTCAGAGTGTGTGGATATGTTATTTGACTTGAGCAAATATCTGAAGCAACTCCTCTTCTCAAGAGCTTTTCGACGAACCAAGTATCGCTTCAATTGGAGCACGAACAAGAAAGTTACGAACGTTGGAAGTTCGTATGCTTTTAATATTTGGTTGTGGTGAGTATGGGAAGTTGTGGGGTTGACTCCATAAGGGGTACAGACTTTTGGGGGTTGGGAAATTCGTCAACATCACTGTAGATGCTGCCAAGTGGTTGGGAGGAGCCAAACCAGGTTGGCAAGTGTGGCCAAGTTGGGCAAGGTGGATGGCATGGGTTGGAAAGTGACAAAAGTAAAAGTGGGGTTCCTATAGGGAAGGGATTTGGTGTGTTTATGGGGTTTCCTTGGTTGGGTAATCCTTGGGGACCTTCCCTCTCGTCCTCCTCTTTCCTCCCATCTGGTTAATCGCTACTCTAACTTCTTTGTGTGGTAATTGTGAGACTAAACTTATTGAGTTAAGTTCTCATGGCAGCATACCCCCCTGTGCGCCGAAATTGATAAGTCGAGATTTACGTCACCTCTTGATACGATTCAAATTGGGAATTGTAGCGACGGACTAGGGCTACAACATATCTGAGGTTGGTGAAGTTTTGACTGTGGACTTTTCGTCGACGATGTTTCTTTTGAGCGCGACTATTCTGTCCAGAAATTGAGACCAACGATTTTGTGATATTTCGGCTCCTAACCTTTATAGACTTCGTCCTTAGTCTCAAACAGTTCCGGCAGTGCAGCCGAAGCAGCACATTGCGAGCATGATTCGAGAGCACCGCGGAGTCCCGCACCCTGATGACTCTCTTCCAGTCAATTGCACACCCCCAGTCTTCCGCCCATTTCTCTTGTTGCAGCATCACCCCTTGCTGTGCGCCAAACACCCCTCTCAGCTGCTTGAAAAGGGGGAGTTGCCCACCTGCGCATAGCTCCGAACAGCGCAACCGTACCTCCGGGAGACCGCTCACCCTGATTAACCTTCGTTCACACACCATCAACAGCTCTACTCTGTTCAAGTCGAAAACCGACAACCGTTCCGCAGTCCCCTTCAGGGGCTCCCCAAAACAATCGCATGCTCGGCAGGCAAGCCTTCCCTGCTCCACCGCATCCACCTTCCAGACGCCCACTGCGCCTATACTTTTCACATGAGATGACGCCTCCAGGAGCTCCTTCCCCGTGATAGGCGCCAGCAGCTTCTCCTTCCATGCGTCCGAAATACACTTCAAAATTTTCAGCGCCTTTCTCGCCTTCTTGACCGTGCCCAGCTTCCTGGACAGTACCTCTTCACTTTTTAGCGAGCACACTCCATCCTCTACCCAGCTGAACTAGCTCCAGTCCTTCCGCCGCTTTTTGGCGGCCTATCGGCTTCTTCACGCTCGGCAGGGCCTGGCGGTTAGACAGCAACGGTTCTTGTGCGATGTCGCATCTCGATTTCGGACCTTCCCTCGCTATCTTAGACTTCATGAACGCCTCGCATGTCTTTTTCCACCTTTCGCTCCGCCCCTTCTGGAAACCCTCATGCGCCCAAAAGGAGCAGAAGCCCGCAGGGAGGTCTGCCGCCTTTGTCGCCAACCATCTCCCGATTCCTCTGTTACACAGCACAAACTTCCCCACCCGTCTGGCCGCCAGGCCGTTGAGTTCAACGAAAGGGTCCCAGGCCACCATCCTTCCTCGGTCTGAAGATCAACTCTCTGCTCCACAACGAGAAATGGTGCTCCTCGGATGCCCGGTTCCCAGAGATGAAGTTCACTAACACCTTCATGATGCGCTTCCAAATTTTCTCCGACGGCGGGTAAACCTGACCCTGGAAGGCGAGAATCGGGCAGACGTAAGCATTCACCACCGCCACCCTTGCCGTCGTAGTAAGATGCTGCGAGCGCCACTTTAACAGCTCTTCCGCCACCCTTGCTAGCGCCTTCTCCCAGGTGACCTCGGCACTCCCGAACGGGGATACCCAGACTCCCATTAACCTTTCTGCTTCTTTGGGTTTAATCCACGTGAAAACTGACCCCTTGTCTTTGCCCTTTTCCAGGTTCTTCCCCAGCGGTAATATCGCCGACTTGTCCTTGTTCACCTGGAGGCCAGAACGAGCCTCGAACTCCTCCACGAGTGTGTTGACTACTATTGGGATCTGGAAGCTCTAAGCACACCTTTAATTACCACTTAGTCCCCACGGGGTCACCTCCAAGGGTCCTCGGGTGCCTGGCAAAGCCAGCCCCTAACCAAGGGTCCGTGTTTTTCGAGGGACGCCCTAAGTGTAAATTCGGTCGTGTGCAATAGAACACTCCCAAACTCAGTTGCGCAGCGTTAGACGACGAATTGGCTCGTATGTAGGAGTAGCTCTTCACGTCAATACGATGATAGAGCAAAATATTCACTCAAAGGATTGATTACAATGAAACACAAGCACTCATTTTATATTCCGCCTAAAACACATGCAAAGTGGAGTGGCAAACAGTTGGTAAACTGCATTTCTAAGACTTTGCCGAGTAAGCAATGAGACGGTTGTTCAATATCTCCTGCGTTTGGCTTGATCCGTCTCTGTAGGAAAACCGTCTTCAAAGTCCATGTCCTCCGAAAGCCTCTGCTGGCTCCACTCGCGAACGCACACGTAAAATCATGAACGCTCGTGTGAATTACCGTTTTCCCATTGTAAAATGGACTTTACCGTTTTGTACTTGAAACGAAATTAGCACGTTACGTGCGCGACATTTCTGGCGAGGATTCATGTTCGCCACGTCAGAAAAGTCAAGACTCGAATTTCAGTTAGTCAACTGAAATTTCGAGTCAATCCCGAGCACCCCTCGGGATCTCTCGGCACCCCCCGAAAAACACGCGCACCTCTCAGGTGCGCAATCATGCATGACCAGACAAACTGGTCGTGCTGTACATCGCCACAACGTTTGCCCTGCGCACGCTCGCAACATTGCGAGCCTGACGCATGGGCCTGAGGGCCCATACGCGCATATCAGGACCACACGCGCGGGTCCTGACAGTCGCGCGCTTTTGACCAGTGCGAAACTGGTCAAAGGGTTCGGTCAAACATCGAGCCCCACCTCCCCGGCACACTCGACTCCCAGAATGAACACTCATGAAACTGCAAGAACAAGCATGAACAAAACATGAACGAAACATTAACGAAACATGAACGGTCATGAACGAACATGAACGTACACAAAGAGTCATGAACACGCGAAGGCTCATGAACACACATGAACACTCGGAACTTCACGCACATTCATGACGCAACACGAACAACACGAAACACACGCGAACAGTCATGAAAACGCATGAATGCAACCTCACACTAAAATGCACATAACTCATGAACCGCTAAGGCGATTCACAAACTGCAAAAACCAAAATGATCAGTACACAGATGCGCATTCCACACATCAAAAATTACCTTAAAACAAATACCTTTAAATTTCCACCTTGCTCGACGAATAGGCGACAGGTTGACGTGCAAAATACATTTTGCACCCAATAGAGTGCTTATGCCCGGCCAATCTGCTGCTTCCCTTTCAGCACCAGAGTCGTCTCGTCAGCGTACCCGAGGTAAGCCAACCGATCCCCATGGTCATCACAGATGCCTAACTTCCTGCGCTTTGCTTCCTGGCAGATCGGTTCCACCGCGCACAAGAAGAGGTACAGTGCTAGCGGACACCCTTGGCGACCCCCCTTGCAGACATCAAGTCGATCTCCCAACCATCCGTTGACCAAGAGGTGTGTGAACGACCCTCCGTGCAAGCCCCTGAACCAGCGAATGAACTTTTCCGGGAACCCCATCAGCACCATCGTGTCAAAGAGGAAGGACCGCGACACCAAGTCGAAGGCCTTCTGAAAGTCCACTATCATCAAGTACCAGTCCTCATTATCATTGTTTGCAGCTTCAGTCACGTCCGCCACCATCGACACCGCATCTGAGAGCCGCCGGCCAGGGAGGAAGCCGTGCTGCTCCTCCGAGATGACCGTTCCCTGGACCTTCTTCATGCGGTTAGCCAGCAGCTTCGCCACCACCTTGTAAGAGCTTGTCAACAAGGTAATCGGCCTATAATTCTGCACCAGCTCCTTCGGGCCTTTCTTGTGTAGTAGGATAGTCACCGCCTCCTGCACCTCCTCTGGGAGCACCGCTGTTTCTTCAAAACTTTTAACGAAACCCATGAAGTCTTCTTTCAACAGGTCCCAATGCCGCTTGAAGAGCTCTTTTGGCAGACCATCGTTCCCTGGAGATTTGTCCCGCGCCATACCACTCAGCGCCGCCTTTACCTCCTCTTTCGACCAGTCAGCATCCAGCTCCGCTGCTTCATCTTCCCTTAGCGTTTTTCCCACATCTGACTTCCAGCACGGCAAGCTTGATTGTGGAGCCTCCGCGAACAGCGCTGCGTAGAAGCCGGATGCAGCCTCCAGAATCCCTTTCGTCCCCCTCTGCTCTTCCCCCTGCACCGACATAGCAAGAATCATCATCCTTGTCTTCTTGGACTTCACTTTCCCAGAGAGTACCTTCGACGCAATTTCACCTTTTGTCTCTTCCCTCACCCCCGCGAGGAGGTGCAGTCTCTCATTTTCCCCCTTCAGATACGCCTCCAGGTGGGCCTCCTTCTCCAGAAGATCCGCTCTTAAGTCGTCCCGGTGGGGTTCCCACATCACTGCATGCTGCAGACCAGAGACCGCCAGCTCCAGATGCCTCAGGGTCGCCCGCACCCTTTTCTGTTCCTCCGTCGCGTATCTCTTGAGTGTCGCCTTGAGTTTGGTGAGTAAGGTCCTGAAGTTACCCGATTTCCCTGCACGTTGCCTTTCGGTAACCGCTCTGACCACTCTTTCCACCCCTGCTTTCACTGTGTCTACAGAGGGCAACTGCCAAATCCCGGGGCCCATGTGCAGCCTCAGATTCGCCTGCAGCACCACCCAGATGCCAAACTTGTGATCGGAGATCCCCTTCAGGGGGCGCGTATGAGCAGCTGCCGTCACCGACGAGAGAAAATCTCCCGACACCATGATCTGATCAATCTTCGAGCTGGACTTGGTCGCACGGGCGTAGAAGGTGTATTCCCTACCACCCAAATTCAGCGTCCGATACGCATCCACCATCTGAAGACTCCCGAACAGCCGCATCAGCCTTTCATCCCCCCCGCACGGGCCACCACTCGGAGACTTGTCCAGAATCGGGTCTTCCACGACATTCAGGTCGCCAGCCAGGAGCAGCCTGCTCCGACCACCCTGACTGGTCAGAAAAGGCTCCAATACCTCCCTGAAGAACGTTGCTCGGCAGCAGGCGCTTGCAGAGAAGTATGCGGCCAGTGTGGTGAAACTGTAGGTATCCCATCTCACATCCACTTGAATAAGCCTCCCCGAGGCATGTAGAACTACATTTTCAAAAACCAACTGTTTGTTGTTGCTAACAACCGCAACCCCCCCCCCCCCCCCCCCCGCTCTTTTTGCATTCACCTCCGTGATGAAGTGATGAAAGTTCAGCCTTTTCTAGCATTCATGATCTGAAGTGAGTGGCCTGCTCGAAGGAGGTACCTTTCCCCTTCTCGCAGCATTCCAGCAGGCAGACCCACTCCTCCCTGTTGCCAGACGTCGAGACCAGCACCAGCGCTGGATCCTTGAGGAACATCCTTGACGTTGCCGTGGCTACTGTCACAGCCGCAGCACGGGCGGGAGGCAAGCAGTTGGAGATCAGGCACCGCCAATCGAGGAAAAACAGCGACAACGCGAAAAAGAAAGACATCATCTCAACCGTTGAGCTCCTGGACCCTCCCCACTGTACGCGCAAACCGGTCTGTCCTATCCCATTATAGACGCCCTAAACCGCAACCCCTGTCCAATGCACCCCACACCATTACAATGCCTCCCGCGCCTGATTTTACTCTCTTATCCTGTTTTTCAACACAAACCAGCCAAAGTCTGGCACATTCAATAAAATAGCATTGTATGCCTTTCGTTTACTATTCGTCTTAGTGAAGTTACCATACGGACGGATACCGTAGTAAACCTTGTCTTCAAAATCTATGAACACAAACGAAAGCAGAGGCTTACAAACAAGAGCCCTATTAACGAACTCATGTAACAAATGTCATGCACCCAACCAGCAAAAACCTCCAGTTGACTGATTATTTCACTCTAGAGAAACTACTCGTCTACCTTCAATGATACTGATACGACGTTGATTCCAAGTTTTGCCAAGGTTGACACTCACAACTCGCCATAAGTGGCTAGCTCGGGCATTTATGGTAAAAGCTCGGGAATTTCATTAGGGTACACATATACGCACTTGTGCGAGATCCTTTCCACCTATATTGCCTGCACATGGCTGGTTATACTCTTGAAATTGTGTTTGATTATGCTTGAACTCCTTGGCATAGATGGTAACGCACGGTGTGCTGGCCTTGAAGAACTTTGGTTTGCCTTTGGTGCATCTTCGAAGTGAGTAGTCCATGTACTCTGCTTTTACACAAATCTGCAGCCACAGGAGTGTGAATTATTTGTTAAATGACTAAAAGAGAAGAACAACAAACAATAGCAAAACAAGAGGGTGAATAATTTGTGAACATGAATAAAAGAGGACAATTACAACAAACTGCCAAACAGGAGTGTGAATCATTTGCTAAAAAGAGCGAATGCCCCAACCAGCTCTACACCTTACTACCATGCACCAACTCTGATTCACCACCATCAGCTCAGCATCACCACCATTCCCTTGCCTCATACCTCACAAATACAAAATTCCAGAGTCGCAGAAATCGATGGTCTCACCTGCACTCGCATCGTTGCATTCGCAGCGTCCTTTGAATTCACAGGATCGCCGCACACTAGCCGAGGGTTTATACGGTAGAGCTCAACCATGGAAAGGCCACTCATGGAGCCCTTCACAAGCTGCTGGCAGCTCTCCTTGCTCTTCATGAAGCGAACCTGGACGCCAGGAGCGAAAGCGATGTATGGACAAGTGCAGGTCATCGAGTACATGAGACAACCCACAAACTCTGCATATGGACTACTGGGCTCAAATAACTCGTCCGAAGGTGGGGCTGTGATCTTATCATCCACTGCTAGAGGGGTGGGCTCTGTTGAGGAGAAATGAAGGGGAATCACTCGAGAATCTGTTGCATCATATGAGACTGCATCACTGTAATGGTGCGAGCATCTCTGTCCCTTGTGAACCGCTCGCCAAGATAGCGCTGCATCTCACCAAGGTCAATGCAAGTGTGCCTCCTCTGAAGTTCAGCCTTCACAGAGTCCAGTGCAGTCCAGCCAGGAGTGGCAAAGACCAAGTCGTGAACGTAGACCAGGATAAAGAACGGGGTCGAGGTGCGAAGGACGAAGAGTGACTGGCCGGCAGGCGACTGGAAGAAATTAAGCTCTGCCAGGGTCGTGCGGAGATTGTTGTGCCACTTGCAGGGAGCCTGGCGCAGCCGTAGATCGGTTAGCGCAGGTTCCACTGGGTCCCTGGAGGGAAAGATTCAGGGAAACCAGGTGGTCAACGCAGCCAGATCTGCTCGTGGATGCTCCCCTAAAGGAACGCTGCGGAGAAGTCCAGTGAGTGAAGCTCGTAATTGTGCTGTGCTGCAATGTCCAACAACACCCGAAGTGTGGTCATCTTCAGGGTAGGGAGAAGGTCTAGAAGAAGTCTACCCCCTCGCTCTGATCTCGCCATGTAATGCGCCTTGAAGATAGGTGGTGCTCCAGTTGGTCGCTTCACCTTGTGAATCCATATGACACTGACGGCGTTCGCTCCAAGTGGCAGGATTGCGTCGATGTAGGTGCATGTGGACCTATAAGGTACCAAATCTGTGTCCATGGCTGCTATCCACTGAGAGGCCCACTCTCTTTAGACTGCCTCCGTATAAGTGCGAGGAGTAGGGATGTCAAGGGCGTCTGGGTCCCCCTCAAGGGTAAGCAGTATGGCGCAGAGGTGAGGAACTGCGACTCCAAGGAACTCCAACTCAAAATACATGTCCTCTAGGACCTCCATGCCAAAGGCAGGAGCACCCCCGAGGGACGGAGAACGGGCCGTACCACTCACCACCTGAGCGACGTAGTCAAGGCGATGGGAGGAGGCAAAGTCAGAGACAGCAGCGTTGAGAACTGAGACCGACTGTGAAGGAGTAGTCGGGTGAGTAACCGACGACGAGAGAACACGGGAGATGACAGGACGAGCGGCACAAAGATGTCAGAATATATTTGTGTAACTGCCTGTAGCTGTAGTTTAGTGTAGTGATTATTAACTTTTGGTGGTGCACCTCTTGTTCTTGTTCTCTTGCCTACATGTTCCTTGTTTGCTATAGTAAAACTCTCCTATTCTTCTTGCTAAACTCTCTCGACTCCCTTTGGCCTAGGCTTCTAAGCCTAGGCCCTACTCCTACTACTCAACATGGTATCAGAGCATGTTAAGTCCAGGCCTGTGGGCCCGCCTCACGCTTCCGCTACTGTTTTTCTGGTCGCGCGCCTCGGGCGCGTGGCGATTTTCATCCTGTCCCGCGCCTGGGTGGCGCGTGACATCTTTTCTGCCCGTCGCGCGCCCCCTGGCACGCGACGGTGCCCTTCCCGTCGTGCGCCCCGTGGCACGCGACGGTGCCCTGCCTGTCGTGCGCCCCGTGGCACACGACGGTGCCCTGAACTGCCCGTCACGTGCCCCGTGGTACGCGACGGTGCCCTGAGCCGCCGCGGACCCGCCCCTGGCGCCCGCGGCGGTGCCTTGAGCCGTCGTGGACCCGCCCCTGGCGCCCGCGGCGGTGCCCTGAGCCGCCGCAGACCCGCCCCTGGCGCCCGCGGCGGTGCCGTGAGCCGCCGTGGACCCGCCCCTGGCACCCGCGGCGGTGTCCTGAGCTGCTGCGGACCCGCCCCTGGCGCCCGCGAAGGTGCCCCTGCCTCACCCGCGCCTGCACTCGGTGCAGCCGCCCCTGCACCACCCAGCGCCTACCCTTGGAGCAGCCGCCCCCGCTCCTGCACTCGGTGCAGCCGCCTCTGCCTCACCCCGCGCGTGCACTCGCTGCAACTGCCCCTGCCCTACCCGCGCCGACCCTCTGTAGCCACTCTACGGCTTTCTCCCCGCCCCCCCCCCTCCTCCTTCGCCTCCCTGCAGCCGTGGGGGGGAGGGTATGGGGGTGGCGGGTGTGGGGGTGATGGGTGGTGTGCTTCCCTTCCCCTCCTCCTCCTTTCGTTCCCACTGCTGCACCTGCCGCTGGGGGGGAGGGTGTGAAGGTGTGGGGGAGCCAGGGGAGTGGCACTGGGGTGGCGGGTGTGAGACCAACCAGCAGCCGTCCCGCCACCTCTCCTCTCTTCCCCCCTCTCCTGCTCCTGCAGCAGTGTGGGGGGGAGGGGGAGGGGGAGGGGGAGGGTGAGGGGATGGAGGGGGTGACCAGCCAGCGCCAGCCCGCCTCCTCTCTCTCCCTGCCGCCTCTCCTGTGTTCGGGGGGGGGGGGGGGGGAGGAGAGTAAGGGGGTGGCAGGAGTGTCTTGCTGTCGCCTGCGCCTTTGCTGCTGTACCTGCTCTGTTACCGTGCCTGCTGTTGCTGGTGTACCCCTGCATGTTGTGTTCTGCACAAACTCCTGCTGCAGACAGTTATGGGGGAGTGTCAGAATATATTTGTGTAACTACCTGTAGCTGTAGTTTAGTGTAGTTATTATTAACTTTTGGTGGTGCACCTCTTGTTCTTGTTCTCTTGCCTATATGTTCCTTGTCTGCTATAGTGAAACTCTCCTTTTCTTCTTGCTAAACTCTCTCGACTCCCTTTGGCCTAGGCTACTAAGCCTAGGCCCTACTCCTACTACTCAACAAAAGAGAGTCGGAGAACGGATTGGGAGACACAGTGAGGGATGACGCAGAAGCCGACGAAAGGACTGGAGGAGGTGGAACACGAGAGCGGAGAACAAGGTGAAAGGGACCATCGGCACAGTAACGAGACGGACGAGCCTTTGTGGACACAGTACGACTGAGAGGAGCACGACGAGACCACGGGGATAGGGAAATGTCAGAACTATGCATTTATATGCTCTAGGCTGTAGTGGGGCACTCCTTATGGTGTACAGCCCAATTAGGTTTTGCTATACAAACCTTGTACTGCTATCATAATAGTCATTCTTGATTCC